GAGAAGGTGAAAAATTTTGCTCAATTAACTGTGTCAGGAAGTCGTTCAGAGTAAGTAAACTTCCCTTCCCTTCTCCATGGCATGTAATTTTATTTGTTTTAAATGTAGGCTATGGTCTGCATATGCCCCTCAAAAGTTTATATATTGAAACAATCTTCAAATTCTAATGTTAATGGTACTTGGAGGTGAAATGTTGGAAGATAATTAGGAGAATAGATGAGAGGGCAGGGCTCCCATGATGACATCAGTGGCTTTATAAGAGGAAGCGAGATCGTGTAAGCAGCCTCTGTCTTGCCATTTGATGTTTTCTGCCATGTTATAACAAGACAGCCCTCAACAGATACATACAGTCCCTCAGTTGTGGGCTTCCAAGCCTCTAGAACTGACAGAAATAAATGTATTTTCTTTATAAATTGCCCAGGGTTTTGCTTTTTGTAGCAACACAAAATGGACTAAGACAATAAATGTTGCTGCCAAATTTTCAGCTTCAATTTTTATAATTATGTTAGAAAACAAGTTACCTCCCTTGTCAGATAAACTCTTTAGTTTAGTGTATATTTCATAGCTTAAGTTACCACAAAATTTCTTTCAAACTGGGATAGTTTTAGAGTGAAAAGAAACACTATTGGTAATTAAAATATGACTGTCATGCCTGAAGCACACAGAGCTTAGGTGGCAGAGTTAAATTTTACATCAGAACACTTTAAAATTTGTAGAAAGTGAATGACTATTTTTTTTTCTTTCAACTCTATCTCTAATAAATGACTAATATAGATAAAGAATTCTTAAAACTCAGTTAATAGCCCAACACAACTCAGGATCATGAGGCAGGGAGATTATTGGTTTGAGGCCAGCCTAAGCAACTTAGCAGGACCTTCATCTCAAAACAAAATTAAAAAAACAAAACAAAAAAAAACAGAATATAGCTCTTAGTTCAGTTCACAATGCCAAATAACAGTAATAACCTAACTAAAAAATGGGTAAAGGAATCCAAATATAATTTCTCAATTAAAAAAAAAAAGCTATATAAATGGCCTTTAAGATATGAAAACAGGGGCTGGGGCTGTGGCCCGGTGGTAAAGTGCTTGCCTTGCTTGTGTGAGGCACTGGGTTCGAGCCTCAGCACCACATAAAAATAAATATATTGTGTTTTCAACTGCAAGTAAATAAATATTTTTTGAAAATGTGAAAACAATGCTCTTCAACATCATTAAGCAAATGAAAATCAAAACTATGATGAAATCCTACTTTATACCTACTAGTTGGCTAAAATTATTCTAAATTGAGAATAAGTTGTTGACAAAGATGTGGAGAAATTGTAAACTTCATACATTGCTAGATGGAATGTAAAATAAAGTCTCTTGGAAAACAGTTTGGCAGTTCCTCTAAAAGTTAGGCAGAATTATCATGTGACCCAGCAGTTCTACCCCAGGTACATAACCCATAAAAAAAAATGAATATGCATGACTGCTCAAAAATGTGAATAAAATCCATAACATTATTCCTAATAACCAAAACATGAAAACCCAAATGTCCAAATGATTAATGGATAAATAGTTCAGAAAGTACAATAGTGATTGCCTAGAGCTGGCAGATTTTGGGGACGAGAAGAGTGACTCCTAATGGATACAAGATTTCTTTGGGTGTAAAAAATATTGTAAATTTAGACTGTTGTAATGGTTGTACAATTCGTGAACATGGTAATGCCCCTACTGCACACTGTTTTGACTTTCTGTAATTTGAGTTACCTGTGGTCAATTGTGATCTGAAAATGTTACATAGAAAATTCTAGAAATAAACAATTTTCAAACTATAAGCCATCAAGTAGTGTGTGTGATGAAATCTCAATTCTGTCCTGCCTGGTACATGAATCATTCATTCCTTTATACAGCATGTCATGTCCACGTTGTATGTGCATTCCACCTATTAGTCACTCAGACGCCATCTTGGTTATCAGAACTGTCACAATATCATGGAACTTGTGTTCAAGTAACACTGGTTTTTACGTAATACCCTCCAAACACAAAAAGAGTGATGCTGGCAATCACTAAATATATGTTGATGATTTGATAAAATTATTTCATTTATTGGCTGGCCTCATGAATACCCATAAAGAGGTCTGGAAAGAAATGTGTTGCTAAATACTACTGATCTCTTGTGATGCCTATTAAACTTCACCATAGCTATGTGAGCATAGGGGAAAAAAACATGGTGTGTATGGACGAATACTCCAATTTCAGACATCCACTGGGAACTACTGTATACTAAAAAACATTATATACTTTAATTGGGTGAATTGTGTGTATATCTCAGCAAAGCTGTTAAAAGCAATACATGCTAAAATCTGATTCCTATGTGTTTCTCCAATTTAGTGGGAAGCCATGTCCTCCTTTTAAGATTGTAATTTTGGATGAAGCTGATTCCATGACCTCAGCTGCTCAGGCCGCTTTAAGACGAACTATGGAGAAAGAATCTAAAACCACACGTTTCTGTCTCATCTGTAACTATATTAGTAGGTATGTATGTTTCCCTGTAGATGCTAGGCAGTCTTATTTATTTTGGTACTGGGGATTGAACTCAGGGACACTCAAGAGACAGGGTCTCATTGAGTTGCTTAGCGCCTCGAGGTCTTGAGGTTGCTTAGGCTGGCTTTGAACCAGTGATCCTCCTGTCTCAGCCGCCCCAGCCTCTAGGATTACAGGCATGCACCATCATGCCTGGCCAGTCTATTTTTTTAATTGACACGTAGAAAGTGAACATATTTATGGGCTAACGTGACATTTTTCTGCATATGTACAATATATAATGGATCAGAGTAATCAGCATATCACTTCAAATATAGTTGTTGATACCACTTGTAAGGCAGTTTTATTTTTATTTAAAGACTGCATTAACATTCCATCTTGATTTGTTCTTAATGTTTTTTTTCCCCCTCTCATTCTTTTGTAGAATAATTGAACCCTTGACCTCTAGATGTTCAAAATTCCGCTTCAAGCCTTTATCAGATAAAACTCAACAGCAGCGATTACTAGACATTGCTGAGAAGGAAAATGTCAAAATTAGTAATGAGGTAATAAGTATTTCATTTGATGAATGTCCATGAAGAGGTCTGGAAAGAAATTTATCACTTTGACCCTACTATATTTTTCAGGCAAACTGAAGCTAGATGAGCAACAGTTGGAATGTCTAGGAGTTAAATAATTCAAGCTAATTTCTTTCAGACACCCAAAACTGAGGTCACATATACAATACAAATACTGCAATAGTCTAATAATACACTTCAAGTAATAAGGCCCTTATTCAGAATTCAACCATAATTTGAATTTCCTTTGCTTTTCTGTGATCCAGGAAATAGGATAAAATGGAATGTTTTCATTTTCATTAAAATCAAAAGGCTCTAACTGGTCATCATAGTTTAATCCCACCAACTAGGGAGGCTGAGGCAGGAGGATCTCAACTTCAAAGCCAGCCAGTCTGGGCAACTTTGTGAGACCCTATCTCAACAATGAAAAAGGGCTGTAGATGGAGCTCAGGGATAAAGAGCCTCTTGATTGAATCCCCACTACACACATACACACACAAACACACACAAACAATAAATTTTAAAAAACCCTATTTTCTTTTCAGGGAATAGCTTATCTAGTTAAAGTATCAGAGGGAGACTTAAGGAAAGCCATTACATTTCTTCAAAGTGCTACTCGATTAACAGGTGGAAAGGAAGTCACGGAAAAAGTGATCACAGACATTGCTGGGGTAAGAAACTAGATAAATTCATTATAGCTGTTTTATTTGTGGCGGTTTGAAAATTTTGCCCAGATATTTATGGTGCTATTATGTACACTAGAATATGTAACATGGGAATAAACTGGGTATCAGATACTAGAAGAGGTAACACTGATTTCAGTTCATAAAGTACATTATAAAAGGTATATATAGCATTAGGCACATTAGGTATTCTGTTAAAGCACCCTGTTATCCCTTAAATCTTTGGGGGATTGAGTCCAGAACAGCCCTTCCCCCACAAAAAAAAATCCAAGAATGTTCATTCAAATCCTTTATGCAAAATGATGTAATATTCACATGTAATCAATTATGTTCATCTTTGTGCTAGTTTTTATATTGTTTAAGGAAATTCAGGGCACATGCAAAGTTTTCAAATATTTTCCATCTGCAGTTGGGTAAATCCATGGATACAGGGCAAAACCTACAAAGGAAAGGTATATTTCAACATTTGAAATCATTATCAAAACTCACCTCAGTGATTACATTCAAAACATCATTCCCATTTTTTCAGAAAAGTGCTTTCCCTGAGGCCCTTAAGCATCAGGAAAAGGGTGGGTAGTCTCACTCATCCACTGACCAGTTACTGCTCTTCTTGTTCTAAATTTCTTCACAAGAGACTTGGGAAGATGAGGATAACTCCTTTTGCACACACAGACCACCTCACCACTCTAAGTATGAAATCTATATTGAAGTGATTTTTTATACATCTTAGGTTATACCAGCTGAGGCAATTGATGGAATATTTGCTGCATGTCAGAGTGGCTCCTTTGATAAACTGGAAGCTGCAGTGAAGGTAAAACCAGTTACCAAACTTGGTAAAATTTAAGCGATCTTACCCTAACAATTTTTTCTGTTAACACAGGAATTGATAGATGAGGGTCATGCAGCCACACAACTTATAAATCAACTCCATGATGTGGTTGTAGAAAATGATAACCTTTCTGACAAACAGAAGTCCATCATTACAGAAAAGCTTGCGGTGAGTATATACCATGATTACCCATGATTACCCTAGATGATTTATCTGTTTACCAACTTTTATTATTTCTTGTAGGAAGTTGACAAATGCTTAGCAGATGGCGCTGATGAACACCTGCAACTGATTGGCCTGTGTGCAACCCTGATGCAGCAATTAACTCAGAACTGTTAAAGTCAATAAAGTGAATGACTTTTTGGAAATAAAATATTTTGAGAGAAAATAAAATGGCCAGAGCATCTTTAAAGTGAATATACAATTTATTTAACATTCAAACTTCATTAAGACATGTGCAATATGGCAATTTTACTGGGGGTTTCACCCTACCTAGGATATGATTGCTTGCTGGGGCTTAGCAACAGGGTCCAGTTCACACTTAGCACTAATTAAATACTTTATTGAATAAATACAATACCAAACAAAATGCATTCAAATGCTTTCTAAAAAAAAAAAAAAAATCAATTTTAAAGGCCTTTCTATTCAGGCTAATGACAAACACAATAAAGGCAGATATGCTAGTTTAACATAATTGGCTGATTTTATACAGCACTTATATCTTTTAGTCCACAAGTATATTATTAAATGATAGAGAACATCTAATACAACCATTTCTACAGAACTAGGAAATAAATTTCTAAGAAAGAAAGATTTTACAGACCCCATCTTTTATACCCACCCCAACAGTCTAACTCTAAAGAGGATAAAGCCGATGACTCTCCTCACAAGAGCTCACGACTAATGTCGCTTTGCTATCAAAATCTATATTTCTGATCCGTTATGAGCATTGAGACAAGATTCAAATATTCCCAAAGAAGCACAATGCACGTTGTGATCGCCTATTCAGCAACAGCGAGCACTGCATTCAAATATATCTCATCCCAGGAATTAAATAAGGTCAGCCACATTCATGGGCATTTCCTCCACTGTAGTATTGTAGAAAGTCTCAATGTCACGAAGAATCCTCTTGTCTTCTTCAGTAACAAAGTTTATAGCCACACCTTTCCTCCCAAATCGACCCCCTCTGCCAATTCTGTATAAGAGAAAGAAACCAGCAATCAGAAAATTACTTCTTGCATACTTTTATGAACTACTGAACATGAGGATCCACTTGTTAACCATCAGCTGCTGTTTACTTATCAAGGTTATCGTGCTTCTAATTGGAGCACTAGCTGCTAAATCAATATCTAGAGAAAAAAATCTTCCTTTGCAGTTAGTGCCAAAAGGATTCAAGGCTTGTCTGGCTGCAAAATGAGATTTTATCAGGCGTCTTGAGCATTATTATAAAGCAGATGACAAGTATTGTGTTTGGGGTAGTGAAATTAAAGCCCATACCAAAGTGGGCCAGCCAAGAGCAGTTGTCAGCCTGGGACAGATGTAAACACCAGGAATAAAACAAAGAGAACAGTTATGTAATCCATTTCGACGCACTTCTGGAACTGTAAACTGTAAATACAAATGCTGCAAGGTTAACTATTTTCTATAACTCACAACTTTTTTTCCAGTGGGAAAACTAATTTTGGTATGGTAACCCAAACTTATCACTGCTTTTTTTTTTGCTCAGTTTCACACGTTATACTCAAAATTACTCAAACGTGTTTACCTCCAAAACAGCTCTCTACCTTCCTATAGAAACCAGACAATACAACCACCTAATGCTCCCTAACAAATGCTAACATACAAAATGCCTTGGCTGGAGCAACTTAAAATATCAAATAATCATGACAAAAGAAAAACAAATATAAATACCGACTCGCTCTTTATTCAAACAGTGTGCTGTTTCGCTTATGATTCCACGTCCTAAATTACGTCAACGCCGCTTCTGAGCGCCATCTCGTCATCAACTGCTGCTATCGACTCCTGTATTTTTTAAAAAGTCTTTTTTTACATCATATAACAAAGTACAATTCAATTTATTTAGGGATAAAGCCACTATAACTAAACCAGGGATCACTCAAATTGCTACCAGGCGACACCAAGAAAAATCCCAATTATAGAATCACCAAGAAAAAGCACATGGACAAAGAGCATCACTAAAAATAAAGCTCAAACATTCGCTATGACAACCAACAGATCTAAAGCAACCTGATCAGTATTGTATGTGCACAACCTGGGCCAAAGATTACAAGTTTTCCCACTTTGTTCTGACCAATCTTCCCAAGTACAATGTAAATTACATCTGTTACTGTCTTTACTGACTATTCCCTGATGACACTGCCTTTCATATAAAAAGAGAAATATGAATTTATTTCACCAATATACAAAGTCAAGATGTTCTCACCTGTGAATATAGTTTTCACGATTGGTAGGTAGATCATAGTTTATAACCAAAGACACTTGTTGCACATCAATCCCACGAGCCTGAAATAAAACAAGTGTATATTTCAGAGTCCTATTCAAAAACACTGGGAGATGCCTATATAATGTAGGCCACAAAATAGTAATGAACTATACAAAGTGGTATAGCCCACTGTGGAGCGTGGTCTTTTATTTTTCTCCCAAACAGCCCAATCTGGTAAAGGCTATTAAAAAAACCTTCCCAAACACATTAACTCTTGGTATATTACTTAAAAAAAAAAAAAAACAATAAAGTACATACACACTTACCAACAAGTCAGTAGTGATCAGAACTCGGCTTGACCCTGATCGGAATTCCCTCATGATAACATCTCTCTCTTTCTGGTCCATGTCACCATGCTGCAAATGAAAAAAACCTTAATTCAAGAATCACCAGTCAGGTCAACATTTAATTTTATGAACATGTATGAGACCAAGCGTCCCTGGCTACTATAGGGGTATAGCAGACAGGTATAGGTAAGAAACAACTTTATTTTGAGCAGGGGGAACGACAACACAGCACTTAACAGCTATATTGTAGTCTGAATCCTGCTTAAATATTCAATCTTTAGATTACTAAGAACATCTCTTACCAGAGCAGAAACTGTGAAGTCCCTGGCATGCATTTTTTCAGTGAGCCAGTCCACTTTGCGCCTTGTATTGAGAAAAATCACAGCCTGCGTAATGGTCAGTGTCTCGTACAAGTCACAAAGTGTGTCCAACTTCCACTCCTAAAGCATTTCAAAAAAAAAAAAAAAAACTTAGACTTCTACTATTCATTAGAAATTCTTTCCATAAGTCTGTGTAATATATGTTGCACCAAATCTTAAGACAAAGGACACTGGACATTAAGAAAGAGGTCCACCCCAGTCTTTTTAGGATACAGTGCAGTTAATTTTCTTCTTGTGTGTACTCTGCTAGCATTATTGCAAAAACCAAGATATGATCCTAGCTTCTGCAATTTTAGCACAGTGCTTATACAAGAAGGTAAATGTCTCTCGTAACAATTAGACAAAATTACCTCTCTTTCAACATTAATGTAAAATTGTTTGATTCCTTCAAGGGTCAATTCTTCCTTCTTCACCAGAATTCGAATTGGATCTCTCATAAATTTTTTGGTCACTTCCAACACATCTGTTGGCATTGTGGCAGAAAGCAACACAACCTTAGAGAGGGAAAAAAATGTTGTCACGGAAATAGATAGCACAAAAAGACCAACAAAAAAATAGAATAATGTTTGACACCAAGCGTCTCTGTCTTATCATGGAATGAACTAGACAGAGATAGTAATGTATCAAATGCTTTAAGCAGGGGGAACGACAATAAAACACTTCAGTTATATTGTAACTGTACCTGCCTTAAATAAAACCTCTGACGAGTGAAATAAAGCTTACCTGAATACTTGTATTTAATTTTTGGAAAATCTCATAGATTTGATCCTTAAACCCTCGGCTCAACATTTCATCTGCTTCATCCAAAACAAACATTTTGATCCATTTTGGAGCTGTTAATAACAAAGTCATACTGTATCATTTCTCCATTAATGAATTTGAGTCTAATAGTAAAAATAAACCATATTAAGATAATACTTACAAAGATATCTTCTGTTTAACATATCAAACACTCTCCCTGGTGTGCCAACAACAATATGTGGTGCTTCAGCCTGCAGTTTTTGCATTTCATTTCGAACATTTGTTCCACCAATGCAGGCATGACAAGTTGCTCCCATATAGTCTCCAAGTGCCAAAATCACCTTTTGGATCTAAAAATATTTTTAAAATTAATCATTGTCCTGTAAAAGTATATACTGTGACTAACTTCCAAAGCATAATGTCAAGTTTTTGGTCTGTCAACAGCTTGTATGCATGCATAGCACAGAACTACTTCCAAGCTTAAAATGCAGATTGACCTAACTACTTCAAGGTACAATTCTTTTCATGTCTGTCTTGTGCCCTGTCATAAGTTGGATCCTGCTGACCCGGATATCAAGTAATTAAGTAACATTTCCTACATTATTCTTCACTGTGTAAGGTGTAAACAGTGAATCAAGTAATGAATGTAATTACAGCTAGGGCAAATATTGATTTCTCCCACAGGGTATGGTGCCTGAACCTTAATAAAGCCTACAGCTTTATTAGAAAGGTTTACTTCAAAGCCAATACAGCAGTGAGCTTTGAAAACATAGCATGCAACAGATGCATCACAAACTACTGAGACAGTCAAATGGTAACATGTCACTGCAGTTTTCATGTTGCACAACTGCATTCAAATTAAAAAAACAGGTACAAATCTAGTTCACCCTAAACAGAAAGCTTTGGATTCACAATCTTTTGGTATACAACCCTAGTAAAACATACCTACAACACACATTTCCTGCTTAACTTTGAACAAAAACTCCCTGCATGCATGGACAATTAAAAAAGGAGGGCTCTGAAAGGACCAATTTAAGCTGTTTTAAATTCTTCACAGTTGTGAAACCTGAAACCTATGCAACACGCAAGCAGTTTTTTTGAACTACACTATCAATACCTGTTGAGCCAGTTCTCTGGTGGGGGCCAATACTAGTGCTTGGGTCTCCTTGAACTCAATCTCCAACTGTTGCAGGATGGAAATAGCAAATGTGGCTGTCTTGCCAGTACCTGACTGAGCTTGAGCAATCACATCATACCCTAAAAAAAGTAGGATACATATTTACCGATCCCACATCAAATCGTCACTTCTACTTCACACCATGTATTCCAGTTGGAACATGAATTATGCCCAATATTCAAGTGATCAGCAATGAGTATTCTCTTCATTTCAGGTCAGTCCCGAAAGATGTTTGCCATCATTTCACTTTTAAGGAATACAAATAGGTGCTAGTAGTCCCCCAGAGGTTACTTTTCCCTTTTTTATGGTCCACATTAAGGTAGAACAGTGAATTCATTTTTAAAATGCCAAGAGTTTTCTTTTACCTTTAATACAGGGAATAATAGCTCTCTGTTGAATAGCTGAAGGCTTCTCAAAACCATAAGCATAGATGCCCCGAAGAAGAGACTCCTTTAAATTCATATCATCAAAGTTATCAACAATCTCATTCCAGTTGCTCTGTTAAGTTAAAAAAATTACAAAACAATTAAGTAAGATGAAGACACTCACCTTTCAAGACCTTCAAGAATCCACACCCATTTCTTACCTCGATGACACCATCGGGGTCCATTCCCTCTGGGCCTCCATGTTCTCTGCTGACAAGAACACCGCAGTTAGGCAACATCCCTTTCCCAAGCCACCTTAACCTTTTCAAACTTTGTCACTGCCCTCCCTACACGAGTAGCAGATGCTGCAGGGCGCATTAGGAACCGTGGGCCTTCCCCAAGGTTCAGGGCTGTGGACAACTGTAAAAGCAGGCCCACAAATACTAATCAGCCCCCTTCCCCTTAGGCCAGAGGGCCAAATGCTCCCGTTTCGGCAGCGGAGGGTCTCGCGAGAGCTTCACGCGAGGAGCTCCGCCCCTAACTCTGCGCAAGCCGGGGTGATTGACGCCGGCGAAGGGGCCTGCAAAGGGCTATGCCAACGGTTCGCCGGCGCTCCAGCTGCAGGCCCAAGCCCCACTGC